GCGTGCATATCTGTTCTCTAGTCTGCCGAATAAGTTGGATTTTATTGAGTCAATTGATTGTAGAGCCAGATGAGTCTATGAGTTTTGCTTATCAATGGACCCCATTAAACACTTGTCACCCCTGGGGGATTTCTTTGACCATGCAAGCCATTGTCAGCAGACAGCAGTCTGACTAATCAATGAGTGCTTAATTACATCTGGTGCATGGTCCAGAGGTGCAGTAAAACAATATGCCCGCACTGTCAGTGTCATCCTTTGTAGAGACAGATGGTACTTTAGTCTGCGACACTGCGAGGATGCACTCACAAAAGAATTTGGGACTTAGCCGAAAATGTCAACAGTTGGAGTGTGTGACGAAACAAATGTGACAAGACAAGATAAGAATGTCATTTGGATTTCACTCTAAAAAACAATTAGGCTTCTCTTATCACTTTCATGAATCTCTGCCTCTTGACACAATACACAACAATAGGCCAAGACTTAATGTTTACAGATTAACAATATCTTCTATTCTCTACCATCATTTTGCATTGTCCTAAGTAGCATAAAAAGATGATCTCCACAAGTAAAACTCTATTTGCATATGGGGTTTAATGGAAATTTGCATACCACTCTTTACACAGTCAACTAAAGCAATAAACAAGGTTTGCAATGGCGTTTTAAGATAGTCATAACGTTGAAGTTCTACTGTACCAAACACTAGCTGGGGTCATCATCATACTGTATGTTATCTTTAAGCAGAAACGGGAAAAAGCTTTTAATGGCTTAGAATAACTCTGTGTCAGAGGACCTGTTGGCTGAGACACCTACTGTATGTAAATCTGTAGGCCATCACTGACTTGATCAGCATAAGGCTGACAACAAAGTGAATTAAGCCCCATCTAAATGTAAATTAGGTTTTATACCTTTGGCAAACAGCTTACATAACCAGTATCTATTTTAATAAACCAATTAGATTTTATTCTGTGCTATAGTAACGCAACATAATCAAATCTGTGCTTTGGGAAAATGTACATAGGATGCAGATAGCTGTCGACCACAGGAAGCAAAAAGGGGGCACAAAACCTCACTGAGTAATAGGTCTGCATAAATTTCAAATGAAAACGTCTGCTTGAAATACTGTGTTACGTACATTCAGTCTGGTTAGAGAGGAGCAAAATAGACATAGGCTGTCATGAAAGACCATTTCAGTAGCTTTGAGAAATATACATGCCTATCCAACATGCAATACATGTGGCAGCAGGACCTTACATACTGGTCTCCAATTTCCTTCCTGTCATTGGTATTGCGGATATCAGACTGATTGTAAACAGCATCTCATTTTATAAGCCTTACTGGTACTTCAAGTACGTACAATGTCTTATCAAGTGTGAATATGGGCACTAAATCTATAGTAAAGAAAAAGATTTTTTTTTCACCTTGTGTGTGCTGTGCCCCATGTACAGCACACAATATGATACAATTATCGACAAACAGATATAAATATATAATTTTTTTTTTAAACGGAAAATTTACAGGTAACAATTACATTCGTTAGTAAAGTGTTCATTCCACATTGCTTTAAATTGTCCTGTTGAAACCAAGACATCTAGTTTAAACTTTTCCTGTAATTTATTCCAAGGATTCGCAGCATTATATTCAAAGCCCGTTTTCCCTAGCTCAGAATCAGCTCTAGGAATTTCTAAGACTAACCAATCTTTGGAACGTGTCTGATAACTTCCGACTTTCCAATTTATTTTAGCAGTTAGATAGCTGGGAAGTTTATACATTATAGCCTTACATACGACTTATAACCAGTGCCTGGTTCTCCTGGCTACCAAAGAATCCCACCCCACCAGCAAGTACAGTAGACAATGGTGTGTGTTGAAATTGGCACGGGTAATAAACTGCAAGGCAGCCTGATAAACTCCATCAAGAGGTTTTAGCACTGCAGCTGAAGCATACAGATACAGTATATCGGTATAGTCAAGTACTGACATGAAAGTAGCTTCTTCACTTCTATGCTATTAGACAGACATGATTTATTTCTGTAGAAGAAAACCAATCTTAACTCATCTTTAGATGTTCCTACGCAAACACCTTCACTGAATAAAAACACATTCATTCTGCCAATACTGGACTACTACTTTGTATAACATTTCACCTCATTAAAGAAATAACTGAAAATGCATTAGAAAATGTTTGTAATAACAAAAAAACAGCAAGGGATACAAAGGAAACATTTCATTATGAATTTATTATTATTATACCACTATTACTTAAAACAAATTAGTGGGGTTATACATTATTTACCTAAGGTTTCATAAGATCCTCATAAATTACATACAAATATGTTCTTTTATAATGCTAGACCATCATACAGGAAGGGTTGTTAAGATCCCAATGTGCTTCCTAGGAAGAATTCCAGCTTTTTATTTCTTTAAATGTCAATAAAGCATATAGCATATTTAGCATATTTTAATAGCATATTTTAATATCCTGAACAAAATATTTCTCAGTACAATTACCTTAAAGGATACCACTGTCATTTTGTATCTTATCCAGAAGAAGTGTATTTAGGCATACTATGGTAGAATTATGACATTGATTGAGCGCACGACTGAAGTGGCTCCAGTAGTTTGTACACACTTTAACTGTGACCTTTAAAGGTCACAGAGTGTGTGTGGATTTAAACAGATTTTGCAACTTTAAGAAAGAAAACTTCAATGAACAGCTTTGCAATAATTTGTAAATTATCAGATGTTAATAGCTTCTCAGTACAGTTAACAAGGCTTAAACATACACTTTGTAAGAACTATTTTAAAGTAATATCAAGGCTCACTTTAAAGTACAAACAATAGCTGTGATGCCTAAATTAAACAGCATCAGGGCATTAATTTGACATTAGCTTGCAAACATAAATTCAACCCCCGTTCTAACTTTAGTAATGCATTTGCTGGAAAGAGATTAATATCAATTCCATAAATCATTCAGGGGATAGATCCGGAGCCAGAGACACTGGTATGTTAGCTGATCTCAGTGTGGAAGCTCACATTAATCAATGTCTGAGCTCCTGCATGTCATTTGGGAAAAAAGGCAAATACATAAAAAGGGCAATCGCCACACTGATATCAGCACAATCCTCCTAATGTAACATGTTCAGATTTTTACGCACCGTTACTATATATATGCACTCACTTCACATGCCTCCTGTCTACTGTTTACAAAAACTGTGGATTTGGTTCCCTATTTCCTTATTTATCCATGCATATGCCCACACAAGATGTTTTTTCCTCTTGTAAAATGAATTAGTAAAAGGCCTAGGCCTTACAAATGTAAGAAAACTTTTTCTCATGTGATCGGCTGACCTCTAACTCTTTGAAAATCAAGTCTATCAGAGACAACATAATAGTAAAAATCAACTTTGGAGAACAACATTGACAATGTCACCAAGGCCAGACATCAGAAAGCAAACAGGGTGAAGCTCATCCCAGTCTGCAGAAACCAAAATGGGCTTGTCTGTGGAAATATGAAATCTGAGTGCCATTTGAACCTAATCTCCACACAGAGATTCAGTCCCAGAGAGACCTGCTGATTCCCTGATTTACTCTGCCTACTTGTGTGCTTGAGTGTGCGCCTTTGTGTGGGTCTAGCCAACTGACCTTGTCAGTGCTGAGAAGGTACTTTATTTTCATTTTCGTGCCATTCAGCTGTCAGAAAAAGTGGCCAAACAAAGGCCATTAACAAATGACACTGGAGCATATTAACTTTATCTCACTGCACGCCTTGATCCACCAAAACAGACAGACAAGGTAACAGGTCAACCACCCTTTCAGGTATACTTAATATACTTCTCTTTTTAGCCATGCTGGCAGCTCTAGCGACAGCAAAGTTGGTTGGTATGTAAGTAATCACTAAAGCAATTATGCACATACTTTCTGTGTAAAAAGTTGTTCTGCAATAAGAAAATGTGCAGAGAAATAGCAAAAATAGTCACATAATAACAAAAAGTGAATGGGGATATTAAACGTATAATAAACAGTGTACTGCATCATGCATAGATATATATCTGTATTTCTGTATATATTCATATTTAGACAATGAGTAAATACACATCATCACTGAACCCTCTACATGCCAAGATACAGACACATGCATTTACATACACTTACAGTATAATAAAGTATACATGTGAACAAGCACATAACAACATAATTATACAAAAGGATTGTCTCAAAACAAAGACTATTTGTTTTTCAGATGATTAGGCCATAAAGCCGCTGCAAGAAAATAGATAATAGATTTTGAGATACTAGCACTAGACAATAAATATTTATATGAACGTGTGCCTGATAATACTGTTGCCAAGATATGTCTTAGTCTTGATAGAGCTCTTAGATCCACAGACTCACAGCTTGTTGCTATACATGAAAATTCAGACACTCATATATGCAGAAGATGCTTTCTACTTTTGTACCCAAACCCTGGAAAAGTCTCACTGGCTTTGCAGGGGATTCTGTAAATATTGCTTATTCTCAGACTATTTAAATATGCCACATCTAATGAATAGAGATTGTGGACTGGAACATATAGCCTGATAAGGTTGGATAAATAAAGTAATGCTAATCCAAGCAAAGCTGTAGTTTGAATAGGCAGCAATGCAATGAGGGTCAAATGTGTGCACTGCAGTCAAATTTATTTGATCTACCTGTGATGAGATTTCTAGCTTGGGTGTTTTGAACAAGCTGGAGGTGTTTGGTGGAAACTTGGAGTAGGTGGCATTAAAATTCTTTGAATTTGAATTCATTGAATTCTTGTTGTGAGTGCAATGGAATGGACGTATGTCTCGGGGTGAGGGAGGGCCCACGAAATATTGTAATTGTTTGCAGCCACCACTGACCACAGTAGTGACATTTAATACCAAATATCAACGTCACCAACATGAAAGGAACAATGTAAAACAACATTATGGATTCCCACCTTATTTAACCGATAAGGCAATTTTCAAGTTTACTACTCACCACTCTCAAAACAAGCATCAAAAACCAGATGTCCTTTTCGCGGAGGTCCAGCGTAACCTGGTGGGCTCACCATCAGTTTGTTCACGTTCCCCACCAATGCATCCTCTCCTCCAGTTTCACTGCCTGAAGAACAAGTGCAACATGTAGGAATAAGATGAGTGTCACTCTATTCATAGGTTATGCGTAAACATTTGTTAAATAAGCGTTGTCTAACTTTATTTTAAAGGATGTAAGACCTTAGCCTGTAGATCATCCGTAAATGAATCCCTCATACAAAATTACAAAGTCATAGATTGTTGCTTAAAAAACATATATTGCCATGTAGCACCTTACACCACCACTAAACCCAAATTATGGGTAAAATAAGATAAAAAAGATGCAAATTATTTCAAAGCTTTGTCAACTTTAACAGAAACAAAACAGTTGATCTAAAGTGTCAAATGGAGTAACACAAATAGATAACAAAGCATATGAAGGTTGAAAGAAATCTTTATTTTTTTCATTGCAGCACAAGCATATGCATATGGACATCTAATTTAAACGCAGGGCTTTGTTTCTGTGTTTGAATAAATTTTAAAAAGTAAAAGCTGTACTTTCTATTAAGTTATTATTTTTGTTTTCCTATTAGTTGAAGCCTTTTTGTGAACAGGCCAATACATTTCAACAATATTTAGCATAATTTCTTTTTATTTGAACACTTGGCGACTTTGCCTCCGACTGAGATGACTGTATTTCAGATTGGTCTGTCTTATGTTTTATTTCTTTAAATTATGTTTACAGCATTTGCAGTTTTAAGTATTTGTGCAATCCTTTGTGATTTCTCAAACAAACATTGATACATACTTTAAAAATAAAATCAAAAATCAAAAATAATATTTAATCAATTGTCTGCAACACTCATACAGCCTATGCACTCACTGCAATTCTGAGGCACAGGTAGAAACAGTGACAGTAACAATATCTGCAAACTAAATGAAAAGCAAAATGCTTTGCTATATAGGAGTACCTGCACCTCAATCCTCAACCCACTTGTAACTTACCTGTGATGAGTATTTGCATATCAAAGAGCCAATTCCAAATGTTTACTGTATGTCAGGTATTAACCACAGAGTTTTGATTTAATGAATACTACACTGAAAACGTGTTGTGTAATCCTAAAACCATCAGCAATCTTAACGTTTTACATGCATGGTGAAGTGCTTAACTTTAAAAATCTGTCCATTATTTGTTGGTTCAAATCTCTGTTAACGTTATGAGTTTATCAATACAGTTGGCATTTGTTCGCGGATTATGGCTTTAATTTAGGAGGGTAAGTTAAGTTACCGACAAACACCACGTTCCAGTTGCTTGTTAAACAAGAGCAACTTCAGTTACCGACAGCTAGCAAATTAGCTGCACATTAGTTAACTGGAGGAGCTATCCCTAACTAATCTAACACAGCTAACGTTAGCTAGGACATGGGAGATACAATAACGTTACAACTACGTTAGTGCTCGCCCGTAACGGTACAGCGGAGTGGATAACGTTAACATGCCAGCAGTTGTCTAAAGTCATTCAGTGATGTAGTGCCCGAGTGCAGTTAGTTATACGATTGGTAGCAGCAATGCTATCTCATAACAAGCTGGTGACATGCCTCTTGTTTACATCCTTGTACCTGCTAGCTTAGGAGGTTAGCACATTTCAGGTCAGCGACAATATAAAGACACGCAGCGAGCCTGAAACACGCAGCTATTGTTTGTCAGGCACTTGGGCATCGTCCGCCCCTTTTCGCTTGTATATCAAAGAAGGGGAAGCCAGGTAAGGCTCATATGTACACACCAATCTCGACGTCTCTAACAGTGATCTCCTCCATCTTCCTTTCCATCGTGTTACAGAGCAGCCGACGCTCCCTGTGTGTTACCACAGCAACGGAGCAGGAGGAAGAGGCGCTGTCACCTCCATCAGTAAGTACACAGCTGCAGACATGCAGGGCATCCCTTCACATACAGGCGAGCTCAGCCAAGTCCAGTTGATGAATTATATGCACTAAAATACCTGAATGACAACATAAGCTGATATTGATTTGGTATTGGTGATTTCTGCACTTAGATCCAGGGGCACAAATCATTGAACACAGCAAACAAATTTGCAAAAACATGCCACTCAGAAACAGAAATGCTGATGTTCTGTACTGCAAATTCAAAGTCTCAAGCTGTTGTGGATCAGGAAAACTTGATATAATTCTGTCTGAGAAGCAAACTTTACAAACATTCCCAAAATGTTCTGTATTCATAGTTATAATACAAGGCAGGCCTACAAGGTACGATGTCCTCCAAGTTGTGCAATGAACCCCTACAAATGGTTCAGAACGCAGCAGCGCGTTTTGTTTTTAAGGACTCATGTCACTCCATTACTCAGCTACCTCCATTGGCTACCTGTGGCCTCCCAAATCAAAGTCAAGTCACTAATGCTTTCATACAGACTGACTACTGGGTCCGCACCCATCTACTTAAGCTCCATAATACAAGCTTACGTTCCTTCTCGTCCACTGTGCTCCTCCAACGAACGCCGCCTAGTTCTGCCATCCCTACACACAAAGCAATCTCAGTCCCGGCTGTTCTCATCTGTAACACCACAATTGTGGAACAAGCTACCACATGCCATCAAAGCAAGGGCGTCCCTCTCTAACTTCAAAAAGCTCCTGAAAACTCAAAACTTTCTCTTGTAACACCTCTAACCCCTAACATGCACTTCCTGTGTTCTTCGTTTTCTATCTCCTTACAATTCTCGTGTATTGTTTGCAATATTTAGTTAACTCTTTCCTTTGCCATACATGCTACTAGCTCTTACTAGTATTTATAATCACTTGTAGATCTTACTGTATGTTGTTCCTCAAATGTAAGTTGATTGGACAAAAGTGTCCTCCAACTGACTCTAAATGTAAATGTACAAGGTCCAAGGTAGATTTATTTGTCACATTGCAACAGCTTGTAAAGTTAAATTTAGTTTGTAACTCCCTTCTGCTACGTAGCAGACAATATACAGTAATACAAAAGCAATCATAAAAATTGTAGACAGAAATAAACTATATTCAATGGAGCAGTGCTGAGGATGAAGTTGAGTTTAAAAGTCTGATAGCTTGGGGGGAAAAGCTGATCTGCAGTCTGGTGGTGCAGCAGCAGAAATATATCTATATCTCTACCCGAAAGGCAGCAGGGTGAACAAGCTGTGGCTGGGGTGGAAACTGTCCTTTAATATCCTTTGGGCTCTGCGTAGGCACCTCACCTCACAGATATCATGATAATATTGTTATTATCATTATAGGAAAACTTCATGTACCAGTGTGCAACATAGTAGCCTGTACTTTCAACATTCACATTGTGCCGGCTACACTAAACTCAAAATGCCTCCGAATACACTGCCTGTAACCTGAAAGCAGTATATTGTACACACCTCAGTTTTATTGCAGCCATACCTGCATTTTTAATGGTGTTTTCAGAGAAAAGAGCCAATGATTGCAGGCAGCAGTCAGAGATCCTGAATTATCCTGTAGATTGATTAAAGCTGGAGATTTTCTAGACAATTGGAGCATAGATGTCATCAAGGCCAATCAAGCCTGCCCCTATTCCTTTCCCATTACAAAGGCTGCACCTGATTAAGTACATCAAATGAGCAGCCGCACAACTCCTGGAGCAAGAGGCATGCAGGCTGCTGCTAATTTTCAGGTTATAAGCTGTGTGTAACAGGACCAAATGAATAAGACCAGGGAGAGGGCAATGATTTTTCTCTCTGTGTGTGATCTGTATTTGATGGCAAGCATCAACAGGCCACTGAGTAGATAGGTCGGACTGATTATTTCTCAGATGACAGGAAGAGAATATAGAGCTGCTGTGTAATATTTCGTTAAAATTGAAAATTGAGTAGCTGTCCTCCATGCTGTGTCATTCCTTTAACACTATGCCAATTAAAGAGCTCTATGGTTGTACAATCATTCATTTTCTGGAGAGAGATTGAAATTGAATTATGGAGCATGAGAAGAATGAATTGGATACGCTACATGTTTCCCTTGTTTCTCTGCTCTTATGAAATAGAGAGACTGCACAGGAATAGTTGAATTTACCGATCTTGGCTTGTCTCTGCCAGAGTTGGTGCAGTGAGATATTGTTTGTAACCTGATCTTATGGGTGAAAGTCACATTTGGTTGTTGTTGTTTTTTAAAAAACAGAGTTTGAATAAGAACGTGATTTGCGTATCAATATATCTGTCAAACATGGTCTTTTGGCTATCCATATGGCTTTTTCGTAAGCTGTGATATTGTTATATTAAAGAGACACTGAAATTAAGGTGACATTTTCTAAAAATATACATATTTAAATCTATTCATTACAAACAATTGGATGTAATAATTTACTTCGGTCCCATATTGGAACTCAGACTTGAGCTTCATATCTGCGGTGCCTTAATGATGTTAAAATCTATAGGAGTACAGCACTGCTTTAAGTCACATGAAGTCTTTTCTTCTTGATGGCTTTCCTTTTCTTTTAAAGCTTCATATTCTATATCGATGTGTCCTCTTTTTAAACATGTCTGAAGTAGGAGAAAAAATTGCAACACTTTCAACAATAATCCCTATTCTTTCTGTACAAGTAACACTCTGCATGCATACAGTATGTTGTATGTCATGATGTCAGCAAAGTGCAGCAATGATTTAATGAACACATCCATTCACAGGGAAAAAAGAATAACATGAAAGAGAAGTACAGTCTCTCAAATTTTAATTATCTCTCAGGAGAGTGTATTTTAACATGCTAATCAAAACATGTTTGACCGGAACACATGAATGTACTTCACGTGTAGACATCCCTGTCATGGTTTAAAACAGTAACATTAAGAAGATGTGGCTATTCTAAGCTTTGGTGGCTTGTGACAGGAGGACACGCTGCACCATCAAAATCCTGTGCAGAACATATCAGAAACCCTTTAGGGAAACAGTAGCTTTGGCACTGCAAAGGTATTTTAAAGCCGTGCTTTTCATTCATTCAGAAAGATACTTTTTCTTTTAAACTGTAAAAATGATCAAATAAGTCAGTGCTTGTAGCTCAGTGCCATAACTGAAAGAAGAAAAAAAACAACACAAACAATTTCTTGTTTATGTTTACAGCCTGAGGCTTGGTGTGTGTGTTTGTGTGTGTGTGCGCGCCAATCTATGTTTTCATATTTCTATTCCAGCAAGTACAGGGAAACCCTTTTTACTCTGGCCAGCTAAGGACTTCCACACATAAAGTCCATCATCAATGAAGGAGGAAGTCATGCAAAAAATCTAAACACAGGGTACAAGTGGCAGCGGGTTGGAGGCGGGTGGTTGTGAGAGTCAGGGTGGGTTTTTTTTTGGTGTGAGTGGGGTGGGGGTGGGTATTTGCAGAGACCAGTCAGCACTACACAGAGAATCACTATGGTGACAGCAATCAGGAGGCTCAGGGGAGTGAGGCTTGGTCAGAGAGGAGGGCTTGAGAGGCAGCTGACTGAAGAATCAGCCCTCACTCTGGATGATTCAACTGACAGCTCCCCCCAGGGCTCCGCCGGACCAGCCATCCCCAGAGGCCAGGGGCTTTATGGAACAGGGATGTGGCTAGCAACCCTTTTTCTGAGGGAGAGAAGCAACGGAATTGAAGCCAGGACATAACACAGTCATGTCGTTGATGATACTTTGGCATATCCTGCTACCGATGAAAATGTACAAAGAGAAAATGTGCTAATTTAAAACATATAAACAATATTATATGCCACATCCTTGATAAGTGTGAGACTCTCTACTTATTTTTTCCTTACATAAACATCTGTTAAAACTAACAGTTTCCTAACACTTCCTCTGCTTTGTACCCTGTTACCCATTCCCTCATTCATTAATCGTCACCCTCTCTTTTCTCTTTATCACTTCCTCTGTCTCTCTGTCCCTTTCTCCCGCCCTCTCTGCTATACTGGACACTGTCCACCTAAACAGATGGTCCGGTGTCAATAGGCTGCTATTAACTGGCCGCTTTCCCCACTCTGATCCAAGACAGCAAAAAGCACATTCACAGCACTGGGAATGAATCCTTTGCCAGCTTGATAGAGCCACGAGAAGATTAGCATTAGTGAAGATGATGCCGATCCCAATCACTCTGTCAGCATCATTTTTGTTATTTTCTCCTAAAAATTCATGATCCCAATTTCATAAACATTTTGGCTTTGTTTTTCTTTCTTCTTTCCCCATACACTAGATGCAGCTACAGCACACTGTGAGTCATACTGTGAAATCTCTCAGGTGTTATCAACTGAAACAAAGAATGTAGTGAATCATATCTTTGGCACAAGTTCACCTAATCTTTTTTTTTTCTTCCTTGTTTATTTTTTCCGTAGTTGGGATCTCCTGCCATGCCTGTGACTAGCTGCTTCGTCATCTCTCTGCCACACCCTGCTGAGGAAAAGGACATCCACCTGACCTTGATGCTCACATCAGCCCAACCCTCACGTTTTTTCTCTGTTACTGAGAGGTACCATTCACTTCCACTCTCTTGAGTGGAAGTGAAAGATCTCTTGATAGTCTGCAGATTTTATTACATTCCATTGCCTTATGTGTGCCTGTCACAAAAACATGAGAAAGAAATGAATTATTTCCTTCCCAAAAGTCTTTTTCACATTTGTAGCCACAACCTGTTTTTGTAAGAGCAATAATTAGATAACAGGACCGAACATTATTAGTCGTCACACCACTAACCAATCCATTTGTCTCTGGCTGTTTGTTTATTCTTGTCAGGGAGTCAGAGCTACTATAAGTGCAAACGCTCCTTCACCATCTCTACCTGTAAAAGAGGAGAAGAGAGGAAAATCTAAAAGATAGGAGTGGCACGGAGAGGAAGGGATGTGGCGGCGATGGTGTCGCTGTTGCTAGAA